GCTGAAGCTTTAAGGGTTCAGGGTTTAGGTTTAGGATAGGTCTTTTCAGAAAATCCCCTGAACCGGAAATCGTGCGCAGAGCAGGCTGCCAGCGCACGCCTGCATAAGCTGCTTTCCCGTTCACTAATAGAAGTAGAACGAAGTTGGGACCGAAAGCCAAGCAGGACAAGCAGGAACTTGCCTCTTCTCTGGCTATTCCCTTGAAGCCATTTATTGTGGGTCCTTGCTGTTGGGCTGCTAGAAAACCCGTTAGAGCACTGAAGCAACCAGGCCATGCTCCTGCGAGTGGCAGGTGGCTACGTTTCCGGCGTGGAGGCCAGGAAGAGCAGTGGTGCAGGGGCAGAAGCGGTTCAGGTTCAGGAGCTAGTAGCAGGACAAAAATGCGGGATTTGGGGTTCAGGCCTGGAGGACTGGATTGTCAAGTCTATCTCCCGCCACATGACTGAGGACATCGACACGGAAGCGCTTATGGATCCCGTGGTCCTGCCCGACATGGGAATCTGGCATCCGCACCGCGCCTGAAACTGGCACTTGCAACTGCAAAGGGTGTTACAGAAGCTGCTTCATCAGGCTTGATCGCATGTTTGCGTGTAAGAGTAGCGTAGTTTTCTGGAAAGGTCATGTTGCCGGTGGCACTCCGATCGGGAATCGGCATGGCTTGTTGTCGTGCCTGCTTAGCTGTTGAATGGTTGTTGCTTCCTTTCAACATGCAGAGGTCAGCAACGCGCTAAACCTCACTCATCAGCCAAGACTTGCCCCCCCGGTTTCGCTCCTTTCTTCCTGAGGCTTGCCCCGCAGATCTTCGACAACATGAGTGAGTACAAGGAGAGGGGCTTCCTTCTCCCATGGCGATTATCAGTGTAGATAGTGTAGATGGTTCAGGGCTGTCGAGAGAGCACATGGGAACAGTGCATGCAGGCACTTGCTTTTGATGGGAACACCCATAAACATAAAATAAGAAACAATTGGCGCAAAGGATGTTGTGTCAGACATGCGGCCCGGCGAGCGGGATGCCGTCTTTTAGAGTCCGAGATCGGGGAGTTTGACGCATGAATTCAGATATGTCGTGGTGCTACTGCGCCTTGAGCCAGACTTTCTTGCTTTTCATCGCTGCTCGAACTCGTCGTGGCTCAGAGCCACATTCGTATGAGTCTTGATCTCACCTGGGTCGACAGCAACAAGCAGACTCCCCTTTACCATGCAGCAGCACGAGGCAACATCAGAATGGTGAGATTCCTTCTGAACCATGGCTTTGAAGTGAACTTCACGGATCGATGGAGCGAGACGGCAATTTTCTATGCAATTCGAAGCCAACACTCTGACATTGCGAGATTGCTCCAACATTGATGGGAAGTCCGATTTGGGTGTGACCCCACGAAGGCTTTTGCGCGACCACCCGGAAGAGCTTCGCAGCTTAAAGCGGAAGCGATCCGTAGCTTCGTCGCCGGATTGTGTTTGTCCGGGTGCCGCATGCAGAAGTCGCTTCGCGTGGTGGGAGATTGAAGAAGCGGATGATGAGCACTTGCAATGTGCAAAGCCACTGTATTGGCTCAAAATGATTCCTAGGTCGTTTGTCAACGCGCCAGTTGATTTAACAAGCGCTTGCGGCGGTCGGGGAGAGAGTTTGCATGGGACCATCCTCACTTCCATGCAAGTCTGCCCTGGTTCAAAGGCTTAGAGAGCCCGAAGTTGTTGGAGAATTGGTGAACGTGCCCCTAAAAGCTAGCCAAGCAGGGATGGAGGGTATTGAAAGACTGGCGAGCGGCCTGGATCTTTCCTCTTTGACATTAGCAGCCGTGTGCAAAGGACAAAGACCATTGCCGGGTATGTTCATGCCACCTTTGATTCTACCCAAAACAACCTTGAAATAAATCACTGTAAGGTCGACCATGCACACCACGGAAAAGGTTTGGCAGGATTGCTGTTGGAGGCGGACGTCGGGATCGACAAAGGCATCACACGCTTCACAGTAAAACTCGTCGTTTTGGAAACGAATGTGGCGGCCGGGAAATGCTATGAAATGGCTGGTTTGAAGGAGTATGGCCGTGGTGACTGTGCATTTCCACCGACTGCGTGCCCACAGAATATCGAATGGCTGCGCATGTCAAAGACGGTTACAAGTTTCAGAGTTTGGAAACCCCCAGCAACTTTATGAGTCGCAAAGGTTTGGAGTTCTTTGTATGCCAAATTCAGATTTGCGTCCGGGTCGCGAGCACGCGAGCCAAACTCCCAAGGCCGATAGCCGCGAGCACTGCGACCCCAGAAGCACTTAAAATCGCCCAAAGGCCCGCAGTATAACACGAAAAAAGCTCCGCAATGCAAGCCGTAAGCTGAAATCCAGATTAATCTTAGATACATGTCACGAAGGCCCAGATTTCGGGATCTCGCTGCAAACGTCTCTTAAGTTTGTGGCAAAACCGCAACCAGCCGGCAAACTCAGTCTTTTCACGAATAACGGTGCATGATCGGGAAGGATTCTTTGAATCGACGCGCAACAGAGAACATCCTAAGTCCCAGCTTGATGTGTTGTCGCAGGCAGTTGACCCTTCGTCATTGTCATCATAATGGTGATATTCACAGTCAGCATCGTCAATGTCCCTTTTTGATTCTAGCTGGACACATTGAATCACGATACGCTTGGAGGAGTGGTATGACAACGTTCATTGCCCTGCTGCCGGCATTCTCCCAAATGCGCCAACCATCGGACTTGCTGCTCGAACCAATGGAGATCGGTAGCCAGATATGCAAATTGGCTAACCCATCCCATAGACCAAGGCACCATGAGCCAGAGCTCTGGAGAACCCTAAACCCGAAACAAGGGTTTGGGCAGAAGGGTGACAAATTTGAGGATTCGGCTTTTGTTTTAATGGTAGGGTTTCGGATCTCTTCGTTACCAGGGGTCTTCCAGCTTCTGTGGCTTTCTGATGTCTGTGAAATGATCCAGAATCGGCATCCGAAATCCTCTTCGAAAAGACTGCTTCCAACGGCAGGCACAGTTGAAGACAGGGGTGGTGAAAGAAGGCGGTTCATGCTACGAAGGGTCAACTATGCGTTTTGGGTTAAATTGCCGTCCGCTTTCAGCTGAAGCTTGCGACCATCTCGCAACGCAAGCTGCCAGGGGAGAATTCAGGACTTCAACAGTACCTGCATCCTAAGAAGCTAAAAGCACCGGAAGACCTTTTGTGCGATAATTCTCCGTATCTCCCACACTGCAGCGGGATTCAACTGCTTCCTGCCAAGGTCTTGCAGAAGTCGCACATTGCTACCAAGGATGACGGCCACTATGCTGCGCGACCACAAACCATTCACTATTTTGTTTCATTAAGCTTTTCATTCACATTATATGTCTTTGTATCCTTTTATTTATGTTTGATTATTTTTTTCATGTATACCCTAAACCCTAAACCCTAAACCGCTCAAAGCTCTGTGAGGTGGGCGTCGTGCAGGAACTGGAGCGCCGGGGTGCCAGGGTCGCGTGCACTTACACCGGGGGCCTGGACTTCTCCGTGCCGGTGCAGGAAATATGGGGGGAAGAATGGGGTTTGAGGGGCCGTTTAGTGTAGTTCTTTAGGGTCTAGGGTTTTTTGGATATTTGGGGTTTTGGTCGGGTTTCAAGGTCTTGGGATTTTAGGGTGTGGGGGGTTTAAGGTTAATGGTTGTAGGATTCCCTTTAAGCAGTAATGCGCAGACTTCATTACATGTGGCTGGACCGCCAGGAGTATTTGGCCGGACCCACCGGTGAGGGCATGGTGGATGCCCTGGTTAACCTGTATCTTGGCTTCTGAAGATACAGGTCGTTGTCATGAGCTACGGTTTAAGGTGTAGGATCAGGCCGTTTTGACACCAGAACTGACATGAAAGCCCTAACTGTTACGAGGACTGGTTTCTCGTTGGTGGGTGGGCCCGCATCCCAAGATGCCAAGAAGGCGAAGGAGGTGCTGCTGGGCGGTTTGAGCCTCCTGAGATTCTAGAGTTCTAGAGTCTAGAGTCTAGAGTTTAGCTTGACGCAACACTTTCTTTGTTGACTTGGGGGTCGAAGCCTTGAGGCCTTGAGATCTTCGTGACGAGGTTTCGAAGTGCTTGCACGGCATCAACGCTCGTAAGAGAATGATGTTTTCAGTGTGCCAGCGCAGAAGGGGTTTCGGCCACCAGACGAGGTGATGCCCTAATGTATGTGGACAGCAGAAGTAGCGGAAGCAATGATCGAGGATCCGACCCTGTAGAGGTCCACAGTGTTCTCTTGCCGTTGCAGGTCCTCATGAAGCTCAACCGACCCTACTTGGTCAGCGTTCCGCTGGTCTTCCAGTCTTTCACGGACCCTCTGCGGTCCTTTGGGTTTAGGGCTTGGGGCTTGCACTTATAAACTTAAACTCTCAGCCCAAACCCTAAAGCAGCCCGCGCCCCCCCCAGTCCTAGCCGACTAAAGCTTGGCAAGCCAATCGCAGCGGCTTCGTTGCAAAGTCCTTGGATCAAACATGCAGCCCCCGACCCAATCCAATAATCCAAGCGTCAAGTATGATGTTTGGGGTTTAGGGCCAGTATGATGTCCACTGAACAGCACAAGAAACGGTTTAGCCCCGTAGAATCCAAGGACAGGAGCAGAATTGTAATACCGGTTGTGATACTGGTTCGGATACTGAGAAGAATAGATGCGCTAAGTCAACAAACAAAGCAACAAATAGCGAAAATGGACCTCTTCAGAATTCATCATGGAGCTGTTTTTGCAACAAGAATGGAAAGTCGCAATGATCGGTCCCAAGCCGATCCGCGGAGTTATGTTAAAAGGCGGGCAGACAATCATCACGAGGCCCTAAGCCCTAAGCTCTAAGCTCTAATCGCACGAAGCTTAAGTCCCGAAGGGTGTGAAACGGCGAAGGGTCGAGATCCTCACAGGTGCGGTTCGGTTTCAGTAAGGGATCCTCGTATTTCGGAGCTATACTGGGCCCCTGAGCTTCAGTAGCGCCGAACACCGCAACGTTCTCAGATTCCGGGGGGGGCGCTGCGTAGTTTTCCCATTCGTGTCTCATGAAGGCCGGCCTAGCTTCGAAGAGGCTACATTTCGGATCTGCTGTTCTTAGATCTTGCTTCAGATTGAGGGGGTTTTCACCGGAACCCTAAACCCCAAAGCCCCAAAGCCCCTGAACCCCAAAGCCTCAAACCCCAAAGCCCCCAAAGCCCCTAAACCCAAAGCCCGGAGGCCCCAGAGCCCCAAAGGCCCCTGAAAGCCTCAAGACCCTAAAACCCCTAAGCCCTAAAACCCCTAAACCCGAAACCCTAAAACCCCTTGAGGAATGGCAGAACAGCCAGCTTGGCCTTCACCCGGTGCAGGTTGCTCTCCAGGCCGGCCTCTAATAGAGGTTACTACTCTTGGCATTGTTTATCACTACTGTTATGTATTTTTTATTTTCTGTTACAACTATGATATTACTATTGTTATTCTTCTTCTTGCAATAATTACTAGTTCTTCTTGTTATTATTCTTATTGCTATCGGCGTTGCCATAAGGGTTACTAGCGATAAGGATTTACTGCAGGGCCTGAAAGCATGATCATTAACATCATGTCTTAGGGTTCCTGAATACATGTCTACCATAATGTTCACCAACACACTTTTTTCCAATTATCAAGGCACCTGCATGGCCAGTAGTGCTGGTAGACGGAAAATGGTCGATCAAAAAAAAGAACCCTGCACCCTGAACCCTAAACCCGCAACCCCGAACCCCCTTCATCCCCCCTCTTCTGGGGCTCAGGGGCTCAGGGATGCTGGCTTTCGCCTCGGGGGGTGCAGCTTAAAGCTTCGCAATGCGCGCACTTCCGATAGACTTCTTATGGGGGTTTGGGGTTTAGGGGTTTAGAGTGTAGTTTAGGTTTTAGGATGTAGCTTTATCTCGCCAAAGGTCTCCCTGCCAGAGATTGATGGTGCCATCGAGCCGCTGATCTTCTCTGGGCGCGATGGCACCAGCGGCCGCTCCATCCCAATGCAGGCAAGGGTGCGCAGAGCAGTAGGTATTGATAAGTATCAGTACAAGTACCGATGCAGTAGTCAGTAGAAGTAGAAGTAGTCCTCATCCTCCTCCTACTCCGGAAACTCCTACTGCTACTTCTACTGCTAC